GTTGTCAGTGATCAAAGGTAACCAACAGAATGCTGTCAACAAGATAGACCTGGAGGGCTGGTCCTCCTTGTTATAGTTAGTGTTGGTGACCGTCACCATCCCACAAGGATTAGTTGTAGCATGTGGCTACAAGTCACATTCAAGAAAATGGCCTAACTTTATTGGTCGAGCCGATCTAGTCTAGCTAGAGCTACCTTGCTTTGTTTCAATATAAACTAGATCAGTAGGGTTTCAATTTTATATGATCTTGATGTCTACAAAGTTCCATGACACATTGAATTTTATAATGGAGTTACTACATAAATTCAACCGTATGTAGTCCCAAATTTAATTTTCTGAAGTCAAATTGAGCATTGATTCATTATATAGGGATTTCTACAATCACAATAAGCATGGAGAAAAAAATTCAAGTTATACTTAAAAAACTAACAGTCAACCTACTCTTATTCCAAAATTTTACGCAAATAGCTTGGTGCACAATAGCTTATATATCTACACACCAAAAAGTATCAACAATTAAACAATATCACAGTGCCTTGATGAATCTCCATTTAAAATAGTAATCATCCAGTATTCGCTTCCAATTCTCTAAAATCAAAAACTCGTTGCATCTTTACAATGTTATAATTAACAAATGCACTAAAAACACTCTTAACAAGGGTGTGAATGTGAGATAAATAAACTTAACTATTGGAGAGTTAATTGAATATTTTAAGAACCATAAATCACACCAGTCAATTGAGCCAAGCCTAACTTTGGTTTGAGAACCATTCTTTGACTATTATAGGCTATTCAAATATTCTCACTAAAGTCTAACCATCCATAAGATGTTTGGCTTCTCTTTTTAACACCCATGAATGAAGAACAAATTAATTGGCACATATTGTTGGCATAAAGCTAATGATGATAACAATGGTTATCACATATTGATATCACTAGTAGAATGAATTGAACGAATGAATACAGTAAAAAAATAACAGTATGGTTTTCAATCATTTAAAGAAGAAAATTTTGTTGTAAAATAATCAAGCATAATAGAAATCATCACCAAGAACAATAGTAGCCATCACAACAAATATTTATTTCTTAAAATATATGTTGTTTTTTTTCTCCAGAGAGAGGATAACTTAGCTTATTTTAATATGAAGCATTCAATTGGAAATAGGGGTAAATATACACATATCATCCAATTCTTATTTACCTACATATCTAACACCTAAATTTTGATTTTCAAATTTATACCAACTAAATTTTTCATATCATATAAAAAATACCGCTATTTTAACTTTTAAAAAGTGTAATATACCTTTTCATGCATAGGTAAGGTGGCATATATGTAAAAATTTAAGTTTAAGTGTTAGATATTTAAAGAGATAAGGATTGAGTGGTATGCATGTAAATCTTCCTTAAGAAAAAAAACTTACTTAACTTAAAAGAGGAAGCAAACGCATGAAACTTAGTTGTGGGACTTACTTAACTTGAAAGAGGAAGCAAACGCATGAAACTTAGTTGTGGGAGTAACAGTATAAGATTAACCGGTTATAATGAGGTAAATATTAATAAAAAGCTGAGAATTAAGACATATACTGTAAAATCCTACTAAAAAAATGTCTGTCTTTAGCATTAACAAGACAAAACTGGATGAAAAATCCAGTGGGAAACAGTAAAAACAACATTGAGAATACAAAAATCGAGAAAGACTAGAGCTTTAAAATTGGAATAAAATGAATAAAAAACGAATCTAAAAGCATGAGCATACACAACATTTCTGCTCAACCAGCCATTGTAGCTCTTCTCCAGAGCTTCTGGTAGGTCGTAGTGATAAAGATTTGCGTACGGAGCGATGCCTAGTTTGTGGAAACTCCATCAGGTTAGAACAAAAATACATGAATATTTTAAGTCCAGTTCAGAAACTGAGGTGTACCTTGCTGTACCATATAGTCTATTAATCTGTTGTAGTAAGCCACGCCCCTCCAGTTAACCTTTCCAGATCCGTCTACATCCAAAGAAAGAAAGTTACATAGTAGTCCAAGCACATAATACAAACTATAATTTTTAGATCCATTTAAAAAGCACGATTCTGAATAAATCCTTTTAGATTTGATAAAAATACAAAAGTTGGAACAATCATTACTTGGAAAGATCCGAGACCATGAAATTGAGAACCGATAGGCGTCGAAGTTCAGATTTTTCATTATATTTACATCTTCCTGCATCACAAAACATGACAACAGATTTCCATAATTTACCAACTCTAATTGGAAACAACTCTAGAGATTCTGGAAAACCACAAATCTTATCATCTACATTTACATGGACATAACATTTACTAAACAAATACATGCAGAAACATTTGGGCTAAGCTACAAGAACACATACTTTGTATCGGTGGTACTCGTCCACAGTAACTGCAGCAGTAGCATTGTTCTTTATCTCCCCTGTTTACCACGAAAGCGGATAGTGTAGTAATACGGAATATGTAAGGGAATATGTAAAATTATTACTCCTCCATTAGAAGTGAGAAATATGAGCGGAATATGTAAAATTATTACGCCTCCATTAGAAGTGAGAAATATGAGGATGTGAGAAAACGGGTAAAAATAAAAAGAAAACAAAATGGAGGGCAGGGATTACCAGGAATCCGGACGAAGGCATCCCAAATGCTCGGCCCGCGGCCGTCCTTGAGCGCCATGCCTTCGACTTGGTAAGCCGACGCCGCCGTGCCGAAGACGAAGCCCTCCGGGAACGCCGCCATCAGTTCCACCATCGGCAACCGGCGCCACCGTATTTTTGGCCAATAAGGCGACCGCGGGATAGCTTCGTAAGGCGAAGAGCAGTACAGCGAGGATTGGGAAGAAGAAACTGATCGCCGGAAGTCTCATTTCGAGTCGAGCTGCTTCGACGAAGCTAGAAGACGAGGCGAGGCGAGGCGACTTCTCGAACTTATAAAGAGTGGGGACGGAGTGTAAGTAAACTAATAAAATTTACTATGCGGGAGTGCGCACGTATATGATTTATGGGTTGGCATTGGCGGGAGAGGCATGAGTGGGGTCCATGTTTCAAGTTTGGATTATGTTGCTACCTTATCTATAGCATAGGAGAAGAATCAAATCGCAGATTTTATTGAAGCTAATGAAATTTTAATTGAGACGCAGAAGCAATCTCTAATATAATCCTCATAATATTTCAATTCGTAGAAGGAACTCAATTTTTCTTTTATTTCTATGTTGATGATTCGTTTCTTCATTGGGAAAGTAATAATCAAAATATTATATCACGTGGTTAAATAATTTGGATTATTCATATAGTGTGGGTCTGCTGGGCAATTGAAGAAATAATTGTGAAGCTGATGATGAAAAGGTTGAGGTGGCAATTACAAATTTTTTTTGTTTTTGTTTTTAAATCGGGTTGCAGCTTTCTAACAGTCACGACAATTAGTCAAGTCCTGTGAAAAAAATATAACTTTTAGATATAATTTTTTGAGAATGAAGCCAAAATATAATTTTGCCAAACAGAAAATACTGCAGTACTGCACTGCACTGCACCACCTCCCCAATGCACCCTTAATCTTGCATGCATTAAAATTTATCATTTATCAAGTTGAAAATTGGTATGATGTGGTTCAAATCTAAGAAATAGAGACTAAGACAACAAAGATAGATGCACATTAATGAAAATTATGAGTTTTATCAAGCAGCCCTTTTTCATTACATGATTTTATTTTTATAGAGGAGGTGTACAAAAGGTGAAGTTATATGTTTGACCCTGTTTTGATGTGGGAGTTAAAGAATATCTTAGGCATCTTACATGCAGGCATACGGTTTGGCTACCATCTGACTCGATCAATTGAAATCAGTGGACATTAGCTTAGGGAGATCTCCTCGTACAACTGTGTTGGATTGGGGTTGTCGGTCGGCCTTTTGTTGGTATTCGAGTCAACAAGGCAGGCTTGATCGACTTGATTTTGTTGATAGGTTGTTTTGGTCTATCCGTTGATCGTTGATCCCTGACGAAGAGCTACTATCGGCGAAAAAATAAATTATTATTGGGCAGAATGTGAATCATCATAGTTCGATAGATAATTTATTTCCTTGACATCCTCTTTAGCTATCCTAAAGAATGAGTTTCATAATCTCCCTCACTTAATTATCTGGCATCCTCGTAAGTTCTCATACATAAGAGATTTCACGCAAATAATCCACAATAATTTTTTTTTAGATATTGTCATGTCACATAAACAATAAAATTAACCATTCATATTTTGAAATAAAAATTTATATCATGGACATAAAAAATATACTAAAAAATGAAATAAGATTTTCTTTTGTGTAAAAAAAAAAAGAAAATAAAAAAGGGCAACCATTTCTATTTATAAATATAATGATAAACATCATGTGATGATAGTGATATGGTACGGTTGGATTGATATGAGGAGCTCAAATAATGTCTAAGTAAAGATAGTGATATGGTACGGATTGGATTGATATGAGGAGCTCAAATAATGTCTAAGTGCTTCCAAATTAGACTTGGAGAATTATTAGTTGACCAGCTAATAATAAATAATAATTGTTAATTACCCTAAACCCTAAAGAACTATAACGAAATTAAATTACTCACCATTTTCGTTTGGGGCTATCATAACACGAGAGATCAAAAAAATAATCAAAATTTAGGCCATTTAAGATAAAAACAATGGAACAAATTAATTTGTAATTTTAAAATGCTTTCGCGGGGCGATGATGAGTTGGGGGTTACTGTATATGACAGTTCAAAGAAATTGTGCTTGATGTATCATCAATATTATTCATAAAACATGAATTTTGATATTTTGTATTCAAATTTAAGATCATCAGAGCCTTGATTTCAACAAGTATATGGTCAAACTAATTGTATCGACAAAACAAATCCAATGATACCAAAATTAGTTTGATCTGAGTCCAATCAAGCTCAGATCAAATATCGAAACACAATTGAAGGTTTTCAATTCTCATTGGCCTCAAAATTTTATTTATTTATTGGACAAATCGGATGTCTTGACGAGAGGAAGCCAAAAAGCCTAAGCTTGTCGAATTTTGGGGTCAGTAAGGCATTCAAATCCTTTAAAAAAACTCTATGGTGAAGGGGGATCAATCTGGGTTACCCGATTAATGTGGCTGGGGAAGTTGTTCGTAAAAAGACAAAAATTCCCCTCCCCTATGATCTGTAAATAGACTTACTTTCTTCACTTGAAAGGAGAAGGAGAGTGAGAGGAATTACATATCCCATTATGGACTAAAGACCCAACAACAACTCTCGACCTTTGTAGCAGTCGATCACCGTCGCAGTCACTACTTGTCGCAGCCAACCTCCTGCCATTATTGATCCTTATTTGCAAATGTCGTATATCAAATACAATTGTAATGTATAACACCTTTATTATAGATCCGTCAATAGTTTTCAACCTTTGTAGCCATCGACTATCGTCAACTACCGCTCATCTACCACAATGAACCGTTGCTTGTCGTCGCTGACCGCTTATTATGATCGTCGCAACTAAAATATAATATTTGTTCCTAACACTTATATATATATA